TTTTGAAGATAATCATATATCTAACAACTTGGCACTCAGTTTTTAAGTCCTTAATGTTATATTTTTTGTTAACTAAAATCTAAATAGATGTAGGGATATATAGTATCTATCATATTGCTTTTAATTAAAGGTTTTTATACTTCTTTATATTTATTACATTTGTATATACTATTTTTGTATCTTCCTTTAGATTGAATCCTTTAGTCGAACCCTAATATCAACTCCACTTGAGTAGTCTTGTAGGGAAGCACTTGAGTTTGTTGTTGTAGTTCAAACCACATATATTCAATCAATCGTAAGTAAACAAGTATATGAAAGCTAAAATAATGTAAATTAAAATGAAATAATTAAAGTAAATTCGGTATGAATTTATGTCAATAAATTAACTTTAATCATTCCCAAACAGTCAAAGCAGTCAGAGCAGTCAGAGCAGTCAGAGCAGTCAGTTAACAAAAATACGAATGCAAACGCAAACTTCAAAGCTTTCTGCTTCTCAGCTGAGCCTGAATTCTGAATTCTGAGGCTGAGGCTGAACCCAAACCCACACCAGAACCAGAACCAATCAAGAGCCTTCGACAACAAAATCTGTCAATTGTCATTGCCGTTGTTTGCAAAGTCAATACTTGGCTTTGTCGGTTGCGGCATTGCTATTGTTGCGGTTGTTGTTGTTGCTGCTGTTGCTGGTTGCTGCTGTTGCTGGTTACTGCTGTTGGTTGTTGTTGACGTTGTTGATATTCTTGGTATTGTTGGTATTGTTGATGTTGTTGGTGTTGTTGGTGTTGTTGGCATTGTTGCTGTTGGTTATAACGCGCCATTAAATTCATTAAAGAAAAGCAAACAAAAAGATATGACAACACCGCATTTACATTATCTTTCGAATACAGCAATTGTGTAATTTATTAATATTATTTTTGTTTCTGGCTTACAATACAAAAGCGTACGTTTCGCTCATTTATTTGGTTAATTTGTATTCTTTTTTTTTTTTATTTGATATCACTTAAGCCTGCTAATTGTGGAGCTTAAGAATTTATGCCCTACTTAATGCCAGCACATAGATAAAGTGACTGCTCCGCATTGACGACATACATACACCCACTATTATGATACCAATAAAGTAATTATGAAAATTTGTCTTTTCATCTGTTTGCATTCAATTTTTCTTCTATCCTTACTCTTTCTTCCTTTTCGTCCTTTTTTTTTTGTATTAAATATCTCGACTATTTCAACACATTTCGCCTTAATGCCTCTGATTGTGTTGTGCTAATGTCCGGATTAGTGAGTAACTTCAGTAATTTGCCTTAAGTAGTAAAAGCAACAACATGTTCGGTCTTAGTTTGTGATAAGAACATTTATCGCAATGAATATATTTCATGAACTCGCCACACGTACCATTTCTTGTTTTTTCAGGCTTAGTTCAGGCTTCTCTAATGTCCTTGATCATATTATAGAGCCTATAACATTTCCGAAAACCATGAGTATGAAAATCGAATTAATACAAAAATTATTAATATTCAAATGATGATATTTTGATGAAATGTGTGGAATTGTTATTAATGGTTATATATTAGATTTACTTATAACAGATAATTTTATTTTTAAAAAATTTTATCAAACTCAACTGATTGAACTCAAGGACTTTAGACTCGAAAGTGCGGACATCTACATCGAACACAAAGCGCTGAAGTCGTTGAATTTTGCGAATGCTCGCACATGTATTTTGAAGACTGGAAAAATGTTGTGAAGTATTTAGGAATATTAAGAAGTATTCACATGACAGCTGTCACCATGTGTTTATATATCCCATCTAATTCATCTAATCAATATTTTTAAATATTATAAGCTGTAATGTAGTTGTTGTTGTTGTTACTATAATTGTTCTTTTAAAGAGTAAATTCATGACCAAAGTAAGGAACAGAATGTTGGTTAGATTAGATTGCAGCGACGATATAAAGGGAGCTGTTTAAGTCTATTGATCTATTATATAAAGGAAATCCTCAGCGATTTAAAATCACCTCGAACCTTTGACAAAGCTTAAAATTGGAGATCTTGCAGTTGACCTATATTCTCAAAAAAAAATAGCCCCAGAAGAGCAAGACGACGCTACTCATGTATTGGGCAAGAAGAAAGCAGAGATACTTTAAAAACCGTTTAAGATATAAATTTAACTGAACTCAAGGTCTTTAAAGCTGCTTGACTGTCTGATAATACATATTTCTATAAAATATATCATAAACTTTCAGACAATCTATAGTTTCCCAAATGGCGGTCAGCTCCGCCTGAATATCACTACATGTTCTGAAAACCTATAGTTGAAAGATTCATTTAGACCATCTGGGAAAACTTTACAGTCTACACCAGTACTTGTTTTATATCCGTCAGTAAAAATGGTAAAACCTTCACCTAAAGAGCTCCTTACTTCTAACGAGCTGCAGTTATATATCTGTGGATGAGAATTTCACATTGAATTTTCTGTTAAAATTAGGAATAGGAAAGATGTAGTCAATGTTGTTTGGAGTAGGACCAAAAGATTAAGAATTTAACCGTGTCCATAATCACTATCTTTCCATTGTGTATTAGCTTTGAGTCTAAGAGCAGATGATGCTGCCAGTTGTTTACCAATAATATCAAGTGACATTAAATGAAGCATTGGGGCTAACGCAATAAATGGTGTGGTACACATAGCAATGAATAGTGTGGTATACATAGCAATGAATGATATGGTACACATAGCACCATTAATATAGAGTTCAGCTCAACGCTAAGCCCTATTGAGTAGCGTATAGTACGAATATTTGTCAAGGGTCATATTACAAAAGGAAAATTTTGTAATTCACAAAGGGTTGTAAAGCATGAATAAATTTAATAATCATTTAATAAGCTCCATTATGGTCATTCGAGATGTTCCAAAGAACTAAAAATTTTGAAAATAGTAGATAAGATTTATAATCTACAATCTAGATTTTTAACATAGTGGAATCTGCTTCGTCCGTTTTGACGAAAGAAACCGAATTCTTAACATAAACTATTGTTTTCGAAAGAAATGCTTTTATTGAATCCTTAGTTATAATATAAAAGTATATATATAACACAATAATAATCTCATTTCATAATGACTAGTTCAACTTTATCTCAACATTGAAAAAATAAATTCGCTATCAAAAACTTTAAAAAATACGTCACTCATACGTCATGGTTGCCTTTATTGTGTGTTTAATCAAAAAACCAGTTAAGAATGCATTGTAAATTAAAACTGCATATTAACGAAAGACAAAAAATCAGCGCAAAACATAATTCTTTTCATGAAAAATCCTTGAAAGGATCTCCTAAAATTTACTAAACAAATAAGTATGAAAGGAAAAATCCTGTCGTATATATCACGCGCTTAAACAATATAATTCCAGCGACGAGGTGATTCTTGAAAATATATTGACATTTATGCTACAATACGGATTATGAATCGAAAGGCTTAAAACCCTCAACATATAATGCGGTTAAAATATGGCAACACGATTTTCATTGCAACTGCTGCAACAGGAAAAAAACACATTTACCAACAAAGCATTGAGCTAACAAAAAATGGTACTTTCGTAAAACAATTAATTATCCTTTGTCGGAGCAATGCAATTTTTTCGTTTATATGGACTTTGCTTGTACTTTTTAACATTTTATTTTGAGTTTCGTCTCTCCCATCGCCGGCTTGCACTGCGTTCAAAATGCACCATTTCTGGCCAATGCAGCATGAGTTGTTGCTGTAAATGCACAAATCTTTTAATGTCCTTTTATCACCACAAAAATCCATAAACAAAAAGGATTCATTTGCGTTTTTCATAGTTTTTCAGTTCTTCACTTTGTTTTGCGAATTTTTGTGCCATGGCAATTTTTTCCAAATTCTTATTTTTTGTCAGCGTCGACGCGATACAATAACATTTTTATCAGATCGGCTGCAATGGCCGATGGGCATGGGCTATGGGGCTATGGGGTGGCATGGTCGGTCCGTAATGCCAAATTTGGCCCATCGGTAAATTATGTTTGTTGTGGGTTTTTTATGCAATCGAAAAACTGATACGGGAAATTGCATTATAAAATAACGAACGACGTCGACGTATGCGTGGAGCATTGATTTTATTTGCAGAAAATTTCGCTGTTGGCCTTTTTCGGACAATGGATCGAAAAAATTAATTAGACTCGTTATGATGTTGTGGAAACTCATCAATTGATGTGAGCGATTGCTATTGACTGCTAAAAAGTGCATAAAAGATGTAATTCATTTATTAAAACTGACTAAAAGTTATTCAAATTTAGACACAGACTGTGGCTTAATGATGCATTGAATATTAAACTTCAATAAACTTTTTATATTTTTTATTTAATTTAAGAAAAAAATTACTAATTTTTAAATCAAAAGCATTATATCAAAAAGAATAAATCTATCTTGATTAACGCAAGCAGAGTAAAGGGAACAAACCTCCTTCAGATATCAAACTGTTGGAGATTTGAGTGTCTATAAGAAACATTTTACTGAAATCGAAATATCGATTACATAAAAATTATTATTAAATAATTCTATTTTTTTCTTAGCTTTTATTTATAACAATAATAAAAAATTGATCTATAAACCTGAGAAAATATTATATTAAAAATCGTTTAGTCCATAAATAATACACACCTTCAAACTTCTATAACTCGAACTTCTATAACACGAAGTTTCTATAACTCGAACTGAATAAAGTGCAACCGGGTTTAGAGAGCAAATTAGATACATTTACAAAAAAATTCTTTAACTCGAAGTCTTCACAAGTCGAAATACTTTGAGTTATGAAATTTTAACTATATTTACATATTAAATATAGAAACAAATGTTTCCGATTTAATTTTTTCAATATGGATAAAGATATA